CTGAGGTTTTTGCACTAAGAACTTTGGATCTGAGGTGGTTTGTGCACCAGATTTGATCAATTCTTGATGCACTAGTTTGTGTTATATGAGTGAATTTGCTTTCTCTATTTAGGATTTTCATGATGTCCACCCAATTGAACAAATAATTGTAGATTGTTTTTTTGGTGTTTGTTGTTGGTGCATTGATGGATGGGGTGCTTGTAGGGTAGAAGTTAAAGTCACCTGCCAATATCTAATGGGTTGATCCTTTGAATTTTCTTAAGTGCTTTACAAGTGACTTGGTCACTTTTTTCCTTTCGCTTGTTTCATGGGGCAAGTAAATGGCTGTAATAATTAAGTCAATTTTCAGTTTTGAATTTCAAGTGGGCTGAGCATCAATACTCATTTCGGCATATGTTGCAAAGATATAGTTAACTAGATCACTGCCTACAATTAGGCATGATCCATTTTTTTATGATGCTGATGGTATGCTTGTGATAATAGTCTTGTTATTAAGCTTCTTTGGAAAGGGATTAGTTATAGGGACTTTGGTTTCGGAACAACACATTATTGACCTTTCATTTGTAAGATCATGCATGAGAGTTGTTAATTTTGATCTTTCATTGAGACCTCTTACGTTTAATGTTGTAATGTTGAGGAGATTTTTAATTGTAGCAGTGGTGTTGATGTTAGGGGTAGTATTTTGTATGAAACTGTTCAATGAGTGTATATAGTTGGGTGAGCTTCTCATCTTAACAAATAAATGGGATGAGGTCAAAACTGGGCTCCGGTAAGTCCTCTGCAAGTATATATTCGTCTAGTAGTCTGTCAAAATCATAGCTTTTGTGGAGTTGAATAATGTAGGTCGGTAAGTCGTCATTATCTCTAAGAGGAAATTGGATATTTATATGATTTTTCTTGGTTGAATTTGTTTAGTTCTTCAATTGAGGGGAGAGGTGCTTTAGGAGCTTTGAACCAGTCTTCTGACAATGTAAGGAATTCATATCTCTGATTGAGTTTTCTAATTTTCTCTTGGTACTGCTCATCCCTATAGTCCAGGAAGGTACTGATTCCCAGTGAGACATCTACTTTACTGATTTTACTTAGCAATTTTTCTTTATTAGTTTGTGAGATTGCTGGGTCGATCCATACTGGGCCAAGGGAAAGGCTAAATTTGAAGTCGCTTCTCAGTCGGGCAATTAAGGCCATTGCATTTTTCTTGGTATTTGCTAGGATTGGAATATCAATCTTGTCTAAGAGTGGGTTTGGAGATCTGGGAAGAGGTCTTTTGTACTTGTAATAATCTATTGGCAGGGTAATAAGCTTATACTCCTTTCTCAGTATGCCAATAAGTTTGCGTGTGTCCATTATCATGGGGTCATGTGGGAAGTATGTTGCTAGATGAGGTGGAAGAAGTTCGTACGATGCTGACAGAGGTTCCTTTGGTGGAGGCAGATTGAAATAAGATTTGGATAGTTTTTGTGGGATCCTGTAGTGCTTTCTCAATTCCCTAGCTTTTTTGACAAGTGTTTTAAGGTCCTTTCTTTCAACAATAGGAAACAGTGATCTGGTCACTTCATTAAGTTCCTCTGGCTTCTTTGGGAGTAAAGGAGGAGTGTAAAAGAATGAATCTGATATGTACTCAAACTTATAGTAGGTGTGTAGAACTGAGAAGACTTTGGGTAGGTGTGTTCTTCCTCTTATTGATAGTTGACATGGTAATCTGATTATAATATTTGATGGAATTTGGTCAAAGGATTGGGGCAGTGGAGGTAATGGCTCATATAGTGTTTGTTTGCAGATGTCTAGTACTTCGATATAGTTTAATGTCTTATCATTATCTTTAATAAAATAATTGCAGCCATATTCAAGGAGCTGTGCTACTTTATAGTATTTGAGTTTTGACAGGTCTGTAAATTTGAGGCAAGCAACAAACAGAGTTGAGTTTAGAAGCCAGCGGATTTTCCTTTTTGTGCTTCTGTTGATGTATTCTAAGTCATTTTGTCTCTTGTATTTGATATGTGCTTTCTCTTCGAGTGCTTCATATTCTATTTGATGATTGCCTTTAAGGCACTCATTTTTTATAAACGATCTGAAAAAGGATCTGTCTTTAAGCAAAATCTTAGTAAAGATGACAAATTGTGGCTCTTGGAGAACCGAGTCTTTGGGCTTGTTAGTGATTTCTTAGCATTTGCACAACAGTGGCTTAATTGTGCAGCCAAATCAATGATTATATCATGCTTACTGACAAAAGATTTATTAGCATTAATGAGCTGTTTGGTTGAGTCCTTGTCTATTATCTGCTGGATGTTGGGGTCATTTTCCATAAGCAGATTGATTACTCTTTGCTCTCTTGGATCTAGTGGTTGCAAGGTTGATAAGGTTATAACGTTATTTGAGGTGGTTGATGGCTCAGGTGATACTAATAGATCATCTATGAGACTTGTTTTCTTTTTTGGAGGGGTTGCAATGTTATTATTTTGCATTGTTAGGTTCAGGTCTGTGGTTTCTGGCCTAGTGGGCTGGTCCAATGATGAGTTTTGAAGTTCTTTCAAGTCTTTTTGTACTTGTCTGTTGAATTCTGCTAGCGATTCTGTATTTCCTATTGAGATGTCCTGTCCCATGGAATCCATGGAGATGTCAATTGCAGATACTGGACTTGTTGGTCTGATTGTGCTATCAGATTTGTTCTGATTGGCATCAGGGGTAACTGCATGCTGATAATCATCAACTTGCATTATGTCACCTGCTTCTTGTTAATCATGTGATGTGTTGTGGTTATTAGGCACACTTGTGTGCACGGCTTGCACATTTGGTGCTACTGATAAGCTTTGTTAATCATTTGTAAGAGATGAGCTGTTTGTGGTTTTCTGGGTTTGAGAATTATCAGGTATGGGGGAGAAACTATTTGCAGTACTGTTTAATGACGGTAGAAGATTTTTCTCTTGTACTGGGGTGTTTGGTGGAGAGTGAATAAATGAATCTAATACTTTTTCTAATTGAAATGTGCTGTTCTCCTTATTTATAATGTTAACTTGATTCCATGAAAAGTGCCAATTGTAGTTGAGGTTGTTGCTAATAACTTTTTGAGCTATTTGTTCTCTGTCGGCCTGGCTGAGTTTGTTACTGTCCTGATATTTGAAAAACTCCTCCAGTTGGGAGCTGAACTTCTTCTTTGGTTTGTTGGCTGTTGCTATAATGAATGCTTAGTAAGTTGCTCTGGTAGTTTTAGAAATGCTGAACTTGATGTAGATTGTTGGGATATCATCCTGGACTTGTGAGGAACTTTTCTGAACTGGAATAATTCAATATTTGGGAAAGCTGACAAGTGGTGGAATGGATATATTTTTTCCTGAGAGGAAGACTAAAATAGTGCATGTATTTATTTTCATGTAGACTACAGCAAACAGAAGTTTGCTTGGGTTGATGAGGATGATGTCCAAGAGAGCATGTACTGGGTCTGGAGATTTTATCTTGGGGGAGGGGCCCCCAAGAATGCTTGACTTGTTTTTTCTCAAAATTTTTTCTGATTGCCTAAAAAGGACATTTTTAGGGAAACTGATGTGTTTGGGAAAGAGTTTTTTTTTTTTTTTTTTATATTTAAAAAAATTATACATAAAGATTGTTGAATTAATATATATTCTATATTAAGATAAAATAAACTTTATAAATACTTATTTGATTACAGAATAAAAAAAACAAAAAAATTTTATTAATCATACTTTTAAAATTCTTTAAATAATAATTTGTACTAGTAATCATTTTTGTCATTGTTTAGTATTACATGGAAAAAATTTGTATTTGTAAATATTAATAGTTTAGCTAAAAATAATAATTTTACATTTATAAAGATTTTTAACACTCTATAAAATTCAAATAATTATATTAATAAACAAATATTTATTTAAACAATAGTTTCATTGTTTCAAATAGGCATTAGCCATTTAATATTATCTATATAAATTTATCTACTTGATATAAATTTATATATATAGTTTTGTTATGATAGATTACAATTAACTTATATATTTACATATGTAAAAATTATTAATATAATAACAATAAATTTACTGTTTAAATAAAGTCTTACATTTGATACCTGTTTGTAATAAAAAAAAAATCTAATATGCCTCACTTAACATTAAAAAAAAAAAAAAAAAATCTGATAATATTTAACTTTAAAATAATATATTTGATAAAAATTTTAAGATGATAATTGAAAAATCAAAATGATTTTATTTGAATGGCGTTTTCTAATCTACAGTATATACTGTGTATATTAGTAATTATTTTTTTATTAAATATTAAATATTTTTTTATGTAATTTTATTATGTTTTTTTTTATTATAAAGTCAATCTTCAGGCATTGCTTTCTATGGCAACATTACATTTACATGTATAAGTGTTTCTTGATGTTTCTATCATTAATTGAGATAGATTACTTAATAAATCTAAATATATTTTTTATTGCTTATACTATACAAATGTTAATATAAATATTGACAACTACGGTAATAAAGATATTCATTTCGATTAATAAAAAAGTTTAAAAGATTTTCAAAGCGAAGCGAATATAAAATCAATAATATATATTTATGCAGCACGAGAAATTGAAATTTTCATAAATGAATACTTTATGAAAATATCGATAATTACTAAGGTCATTAGATAATTTATTATTGCATTTATTTGAAATAAAGTTTTCAAATAATACATATTCCTTTTATTACTTACAGATTAATAAAACAGATAATAAAAATACGTTTCTTAAATATTTTTTCTAATGAAACTTAAAGTTAATTGTGCGACTTCAGAAAGTCACCACCTTTTTACTAAAAAAATTCTAATGATTCTCATCGATAAGTCTTCTGTTACATGCAATCAAAATTTTATGTGATCAAAAAATTTCTCTACATCAATAGTTCAGTTTAAATTATTGCTAAATAATAAAAACATCCTGAAACATGACCTTCAAAAAATTTATAACCAAATCGACGGAACTATAACACATAAATCCATGCTCAAAACTTGGAAATATCCCTTCCAAAAATTGATCCCTATTATCAAATAAATGGTAATAAATAAAATAGCCAGAAAATCAGGATAACATTGAGATCCCTACCTTAGTCCAATCCAAGGCTAATAATACTCTGGTCCTAAGACTGACTTGCTCACTGAAATAAATACTTCTCCACAAATAAACAGCGGACCATCCTCCCGTCCACGTATATCCTGTGCCAAAATCTGCAACGGCAGAATTACCGATATAGGCCAAACTACCCAAATGTGCATAGTTAAAGGGTTCTAGCCTGTCGTCCATATCAGGATTCTCCTTTTCTGCACCGTCCACCGAGTAGTCTGTCGACGATGGAAATATTGCCGTAGACCTTTCCAGTGCCAACTTGTTCAATTTTTTAGCCAAGTACTTGCCTTGTTGGTGTGCAACTTGTGCAGTCTAAACAAAGATTATTAATCAATTGATATTCGGATATGAAACCCATGCATACATTTTATACGCACGGCAGGTAATGATGTGAGCCTCTTATCAATGTCATCGAGCATGGCATGTAATTCATCCAGTTCGAGCGTACCTTCATAAATACATATCTTTAGTTAGTTTTTCATAAAAATAGGTAAAAAAAAAAATGAAACATACCACTCTTGTTTTTGTCATAAGTGGCGAACAGGATATTTGCTTTTTTCAAATGGTCAGCTGTTATCGGATATTTTCTAGAAATTTTTTTAGCCATGGCCTGAAATTCGGCATAACTCAAAGCCCCACTGTTATCCACATCAGCATCAGTGAAGAACTTCATCAAATTTTCAACTAATTTTGGATTTTTAACGGTTGAGCAATCTCCTATTGCGTACACCGAAGAATCAGGTATTCCCATTAAGCGTAGCCTATTGTCTGTAACAAGTGCGCGCATGTTTTTTTGTTCTGGTAATTTCTCGGATATCTTTTTCGTCAATGAACTCATGGCAATACCCGTCGACCACAAACATAGTCCATATTTTAACTCTCTCTCTTCGTCCTCATTCTTCTTCTTGTATATAATGTGATCTTCTTTGACTTTTTGCACGCGAGCGTTGGTAATAACATTGATATTGTCGCGTTTGAATTTTTTCTGATATGAAAATAGAATGTTAGTGCATTATCGGTAACCTAGAAATGCATTTGTATGTAAACCAACTCACCTCAGCAAAATCGCTAATTTTTTTATCGTATGTATTCAGGATATGGTCGGAACCCTGAATAATGCTAACCTGCACTTCTTTCCTAAGAACAGTTGGAAACTGCTAAAGGTTATCCACCTAAAGTTTTAATTAAACTCGATAAAATCTGGCGTGCAGTAACTCACGTATTTGACCACGTCTTCTGTCAAAAAATCGTACAATTCAGCAGCAAATTCGACACCTAAGAAAATCAACATTCTCTCAAGTTATGTTTGTTTTTATAAAATGATTCGGTACAGGAAAAAAGAAATACCCACCAGTGGGCCCTAATAGTTGTTGATAGATAGAGAAATGGATTAATAAATGAACAGCCATTAGGAACGATACACCATAGATGCGTACCTCCGCCACAGACAACAAAACTTAGTAATCGTTTTCTTTCTTCGGACGAAGTTGTCGGTAAAGAAGCTTTCTCTATATTATCCATAATCGTTTTCCGTATTGCGCGCGCATCATTTATGGTTTTTAAGAAATGACAATGCTCGATGCCTTCAATTCCATGAGTTATTGATTTTGACCCAACAGCAATCACGAGCTAATTTAAAAATGGCAGAGTGAATAAATAAACAAAAATTGATGACTATACACTCGGACATCCATTATTGAATGTACACCTTATCATAAGGAACATAAAAAGAATCTCCATCAGGTCCGGTTGAAACTTCAACTAGCTTTTCATCGAAACAGACATCCGTAGCCCTGGCCTCCAGATAATGCGCACAAATATGCTTGATAATGCCACGTATAGGTTCCAACAAAGACCTAGAGTTAAATATTAGTCCTTTATGCAGCATTCCACCGCGACGCTACTTTGACCCGTTGGCAATTAACATCATACCTAGCCTCAAGCGTTCCAACAGTTGCGGATGGGAGCAACGGCCTTAACAAAGATAACAGAATTGAGCTTAACCAAGAGGAATGTGCCAATGCTATCTTTAAGTCTGATGTCTTTTATAAACTTACGTGAATAGAAAATAGTTTCTGCAAATAAATAGAAGGAATGATGTGTAAATACGCAGCCATTTGTTAGAATTGCAAACCAATCTGAACATTATAACTTACTGAGGAGAAATTACGGTTACATGATACTTGTCTTTCTCCAACTCTTTAATGAGCGAAACAGCCTAAATGCGTTGTGACATCTTTGAATTCTCATGGCAATCAAAAATTCACATGTCAAAAAAAGAAAAAATTGAAAACCTACACCCCACCCGGAGCCAAGTATGACTAATCTTGGCTTTCCAATTGAGAAATCCTTCTCATCAGTGAAATGAGAGGCAATCGGTAATTGCTTCGGTCCACCTCTTTTAAACTCCAAGGTCAAATTGGATATCTCATGTTTTTTTACTTCGGCTTCGGTTCTTTTGTGGTCTAACACGGCAAATAAGACCGCACCGATTATAATTGAACTTGAGAGAAGAAAAATTTGTCTCCTTCTTCCTGTCTTCGGTTCGATGGTTGCATTTGCTTCTGATGATAAAAATCTCCGTGAAAATCTTGTTGGTGAACAAATGTCAGAATTCGTAGATAAAATTGACTTTTGAAAACGACCCGGGGCAAATAAACTATTGATACGAAAATGGTTTGAGTCAAATCTGTGGATATTTTTAAGTTTACAAATCATTTTTTTCGATAACCAGAAATTTTATGAAGTCCTATGTGCGTTTGATATTTCATGCTGAATTCGTAATTGTGTAATATGCATGAACACATCTTGTAATACGTTTATTTTAATAATATACACAATGTGAGACAAAAATAATTTTGATAATTGATAATTTTAATTGTTTGTTTGTTTGAACAGTAGATATAAATATTAGATTTATGAACGTTAAAAAAATTTTTATCATAAATTATTTTATTATTTTGCAAAATAAAATATTAAACAATAAATCATGAAATTATAAATAACTTTTTTTTATAATTTTCGAATGAAAATTTTTGAAAGATATTTTATAATTTATTATTATAATTTTTTTTTATTTTATTACTATTATTTTTTTTTTGCAATTAAAAAATATATTTTTTTTTCTGAATTTTTATAAGTAATGTTTTTCATAACAAATTTTGATTTTTAAAATTATAATTTTTATATAAAAATCAATTATTACTTTTTTTAAAAAATAAAATGATCAATTAATTCTTTAATAAATAAATATATAAATATATATTCATTTTATTATATTATATTATAAACATTATGTATTTATGATTTAAATAAAAATTTATTTATTTCAAGCGAAAATCGATTCTCAAAAAATTCTTGAAAAAAATATTTTTAAATGTTAGGTTATTTAAATCAAAAAAACTTTTACTGGTTAAAATATTATTTTAAAAAAATCATTTCTAATTTTATTGGTTATTATTTAATAAATCGATTTGTAAAATAATAAATTATTTATGATAATATATATATTTATTTACAATAAAAATTTATAGATCATTTTAAAAAAACTTTTTTTAAAAAAAATCCAATTTTAACTTATTATATAGTTATAGTTATATTTCTTCAAATAATTTCTTTTTTTTTATATCTATAAATAAACAAATTAATCAATTTTATGTTATTTTATACATTATTTATCAAATTATAAGCCAAAATAAAAATGTATGCATTTTTTATTGAAAAAATATTTTATCATTTGGTGCCATTTACGTATATTGCTTTCTGCATTTTAAGATAATTGTTATCAATATAATATTACGCACGCATATTGATTCTTTCTACTTTCAGAAAAACAATATTAATAGTAAAAAATCACGAAATTTTAATCTTATGCTGAAGCAAATATTCGTAATGAACTTTATTCTCATCGATAATGTCGTAAACATATTGTGGATAATCCACTTCCCTTTGCTCTTTCTTAACCGATTTATTGAATCCAGTGCTTTGCGATGAATTCCTATTTACGTATCAGCAACGTACAGTGTTTGTGATTTTATAAATAAACGAATAAAAATAGAACCAAATTTATCGCGAAAAACGTACCCGTGCCATATATCATATAAACCCGGAACATCAGGTATACTCGAAATATTTGCATCCCATGCTTCCACTCTTTCCGCTTTCCACTCGAGCATTCCTCTCTCAAATTCCACCCCAACCATTTCGCAATACTTCCTCAAAATTATTTCCGGCTCTTGGATTAGATCATCTGCATCCACCAAAGGAATTTCCTCCCCGGTTTCTCCCTTAATCAAATCGTAAAAAGCTCTCAACTCTTTGAGCCCAATAAGATTGGCAGAGAAGAGTTCAACTCTTTCGCAACTTGATATGCCGGCCTTATCCCAAGCTTGGTACGTGGCATTTGCGGCATTGTAATAAGATTTTACGGATTTTTCAGGGTCACGAATTAGGAACGTATGCTTAAACTTTAGGAGAATTTCCCTAGATCTGAGCAAATTTCCCTCGGACGCATGTAAAAAGATGGTCGCAAGGTCTTTCACAAATACCCTTAGCGGCCGGGTCTGATCTCCTTGATAATAATGTGGTGCAAGAATTTCATTGAGAGTGGGTGATAAATGATGTGCCAAGGTAATCGGATCGTTAGGTTTAGGCAATGGAATATTATTTAAAAAATCTACATTATTCGCCATGTATGCAACCCCAATTGGTACTAAAGGTTCGTGAATGACATGGTATTTTAGAGGAAGCTGAAGGAACGGCCGTTCAAAGACAGTAGAAAGCGATCTCGCATGGGCCCAAAGAATGATTGGTCTTTGATCATCCATTACTGTTAATGAGAAATATGCAAAAGATCTCAAAAACGGTTAGCCAGACAAGATAATTGACGTAAGGAATACGTCATGATGTCAGGTGAAATTATGTCTGAGGGTGGTCACCTTTACAGTATTTTTCTTCGATGTTATGATTTCTTGCAGTCACATGTCGAGAGATTAATGATCGCACGTTTGTTGTATCTCTGTGAGCGCCGGTACGCGATGTCGTATTACGTAATCACGGCGCCGGGAAGGAGTGAAAAAAGATTGCGTAGTTGCGCAGGGAGAAAAGGTTTAATAAAGTTAGAATCGTATTTTCACGTGTTCCCAAACACTTGTAACTTGATGTTGTGACTAGCAGAGGAACCGGAGCTGACTAGAATATTGGAATTTCCAGCAGAAGACAAGGGTTCAAGGAATAATCGGAAGGAAAGAAATCAGCAAGTATCCATAACCGACTAAATCGAAAACACCTCAAGGGTCGATAATGATGAATACGTGCAATGTAAGGCGGATACAAAAAACTGACAATTAATTTTTGTTAAAACGCTTCGTCTTAACATTTATTATAGTTTGTAACATAGTAAAGTGTCGACATAAAGATTTGAACTTTTTTTTAATATGCAGTACAAAAGATCAAAAACCAGCAGAAATCATTTAATTACAAAACGCACCAAGTTTACAGTATATAATCTTATCAAAAAAAAATTCAAAAAAAGAGATATCCTTGTGCTTTATCTAATTCATGAAAAGTCTTGTTATTTTTTTTATATAAAATAACCATCCTATTCAATGTATCTTTAATATATCGAATCGTATTATTAACAATTGATTACAAACAATTATTTTGTATAAAATTATATTCAAATGTTTTAGAATACTTAAATAGTTAATAATAATAATAATTAATTTGTAAAATTATTTCAATATATTTTTTAATAAATTCAATAAATAATTATTAATAATAATAAAATATTTTATTGTAATATAAAAATAAATTAGAAAAAAATAAAATTTTAAATGGCTGCTTTTAACTTATATTATTTTTCATAATTTTAAATAAATACATTATACTGTATATACAGTATTTTTCATAATTTTAAATAAATACATTATACTGTATATACAGTATTTTTCATTTAATCATATAAATAAATATGATATATATTGTATATACATATAAATATATTTTTTTAATTAATTATTTATTTATTTATTAAATTATATAAAAAAAAATAAATGTTTAATTTTTTTTAATTTTTTTTATAATTTTATATTATGTTTTTCACAAGTTTTTGATTAAATTGAAACTAGATAATAATAAAATAACCAAATTTGAAAAAAATAATAATAATTTTTTAAAAAAATTTTAATTCAAAATTTCAAATTATTATTTCACTAAAATATTCAAATTCTTCAACTATTTATTGTACTTTAAAAAGTAATCTATTAATTAAAATATTATGATAAAAAAAATCCAGTAAAATATTTTATGACAACATAAAACTTAATTATTATTTTTGTGCAAACAATACTTTTGACATGAATCTTGAATAAATGTTTACCAATTGTTTATTTTAAAACATTTGTAACGTTATTTCATTTGAAAAAATAATTTTCATGTTTTCTTTTAAATAAATTTTTGCTCAAATAATATAATATTCTTTATAGTTTTGATAAAAAAAAGAATTACATTCGTGCAAAGTAAATAAGATTATTTCAACAGTTAAATGATATTTTGCTTCAAATAATTTATTTTTTTGAATAGTTTGATCCATATACTGTATAGTATATACAGTATAAAGTTTTTGAAGAGCCACGCTCATCAATTGTGGTCACGTGTAATATTTATAGCAGCTAAGTCACTGATAATTTATGAATTAACAATACAATTTATTCGATTTAAAAAAGTTGTATCAAAACAATATGTATATTAATTTAGAAGTATCACTCTCCGGTTCCCTTATTTTGCCTTATCTTCCTCTTCAATCTTCTTCAATCTTTCATTAACAAAATTTTCGGAAAATTCCCATAACTTACGAGCCAATTCCTCATCTTTTGCCTGTACAGTAGGCTCTTCCAATTGTGCATACGGTACGAAATACTTTGCACGCAGGTTCTTTTCAACAATTTCAGGACTCGTCGCGCAATAAAGTTGTGTCAACGCACCGTTGTCGGGAGAAACAAAGAATAACAATTTAGCAAGTCCGACGAGTGGTTTTGTCCATATACCCCAAGCTTTATCCACACTGCGGGTTAATTCGGTTTTTACAATGCCTTGGTGATTTGTTGTAAGGTTTGTAAATGTTAAAAAAGACGTGCTCGATAAGTAAACTAGGTAAACAAAAGATTTCAAATTTGCATACCTGGGTGAACAGAATTCACGTAAACTTCTTTGCCTGCGAGCCTTTTATTAAGTTCTAACGAGAACAAAATATTCGCCAGTTTTGATTGAGCGTATCGCGACATTGGACCGTACGCTTCAGGATTATTCAAGTTTTCAAAATCTATGCCGCAATCAGGTGCGCGTGTGTGGCCTTTGCTAAAAAAATTTTAATAAAGTTCAATTAGTGACTATAGTTATAAGATAATGTTACTTATTGATTCTCAGAAGAACGTTTACCTGCTAATGTTAACAATTCGAGAAGGTGCCGACGATTCAATTGTAGGTAAAAGTAATTTCGTAAAGTACTATTATACGAAGAATAAAGTCACTACTGCGTACACATGCGCGCATTATGGAATCAAAACACTAGTATGATTACTTACAAAATGACCAATGTGATTAATTCCAAATTGGTCCATGATACCTTCAACTGTCAAAGAAAACGGCCTATTTAAAAAAAATACGATTTTCAATAAGTAATGCAATATACTTGTTTTTTTTTTAAAAAAAAAAAAAAATTAAATTAATTACGTCGTCATTATTGCAGCATTATTAATACTAACAAAAGAAGAGTAGATTAGCATCGTAGAAACGGTAAGCTGTTTTTAACTAAAATGATACCAATAGAATGATGAACTTACAGAATGTGCAAAGGTAACTTTCGATTTAAAAACGATTCCGCTGCCTTCTTAACCGACCTTAAACTTTGCAAGTCTAACGGTAGATATTCGACATTATTATTGCCCGTCTCATCTTTTATCTTATCTACGGCAGTTTCACATCTCTCTTTGTCTCGACCCGCAACGAACACGTGAGAATTCTTACGAGCTAGCTCTCTAGCAGTAATAAATCCAATGCCCGTATTGGCGCCAGTTACAATCGATACTTTTCCGGTGAGGTCTGGAATATCTTCGAATTTGAATGTCATGATTATCGTTCAGTAATAATTTTCACTTTGTAGAAGTCTGAGTCAAAATAATAATTCTGATAATAATGCTACATGACGATGGGCGTATATATATACACACAAAGCCTCTGATGTGCACATCGGTTAATATGATCTGATCTGTATTTTCATATTTAACAGCCGGTAGCATATTTCTCCGTGGCATTAATTTGAAACGGCTTTAAATGCTAAATAAGGTACTAAACCCTATAGTGTTATAAAAAAACGATGAAGTAGCACGTTATTGATCGGATATCCGGAAACCTTATTTTCCTGTCGTTTATAATGCATGCGTAATGATAGATACATGATTATTTCCGCTTTCTGTCCTGTAACCGAGGTTGGATTGGTCTTGGAATAAAACGATAATAAACCGGTCTCGATCGTGTGACTAGATCGGTCCGGTAACTTTACTTTTACGTCGTCAAAATTAAACACGATTTGTCACAATTTACACTGTTGCGTCATTTTCATTACTAATGCAAATCCAAATATGCGATTTATATGATGTTTCAGTTAAAATGCATTTCATTTGCATCGTTATACAATATCACAAGTAGTATGGCCTCTTATTATTGGCAGCAGGAGTTGATAAGTGAATTACGTAACAAGAAAACCTCGTATTATATAATTTTTGATAAGCCAAATAAACAACAAATTAATAAATTTTTTGAATCAAATGAAAAATAACAAGTATGTGTCAATGTATAAGATATTTAATTCACCTATATAAATAAATAAAATAAAACTATTGTTTAAATTTGTAAAATTTGAAACTTCAAAATCTATTTTTTATAATTAAAAAAATAATAAGTCTTTTATAATTTTTTATAAGCTTAAACTTTTATTGATTTTTATATTTAATTTTAAAAAAAATTTTTATAGGAAATTTTTATATATAAATTTATATATATAATTTGTGTTTTTTTAATTTTTTTTTTTGACTTTAAATCAATATTTTCAAATAAATTTATTAATTAAGTATTAATAAAACTTTAATATTTTATTAATTATATTATAAAATATACAGTATTTAAAATTTTATTTTAATTAAATTATTATTTATTAAATTATAATAAAAAATTTCAATGCAATTATTTTTGTTCTATACTGTATATTACTAATTATAAATTTATTATATTGATTTATTTTTTTTACAAATTTTTATAATTTGTATTTTCAATATAACAAATAATAAATTTTAATAACAAGTTATTTTTTTTTTTTTTTTTTTTTTTTATAGTGGAACGTACGCAAGGTGCGTGATCTTTATTGATACGTTTATATATCCAGAC